TATTATATACTTATTATACACTTAATAAATATAATTTAACATATATATTAATAAACTGAACTAACAATAATTTAAATAAAAATTATATTAAATATTTCAGTGATTAGTAAAATATAATTAAATGTTAATTGCATTGACTTTGAATGTTTAGATATATTACAATAATTTCTAAAATTGTTTGCCTTAATAAGCATAAGCTAAAGTTATCATTTTTATTCAAAGCAATCTCTATTTACATTATAATAATTTTTAGTAATAATTAATAGAAATAATCAACAATCATAAATGATGGTATTCATTTTTTCAAGTGGCTTGTATTAAACGAATGCCATTAATTATATTAAAATATTTCTATTTATTATACATGTATATGTATATTTATTATGCGAGAATACATTACTACTTTCACAAATAGTTTCCAATGATCATTACAAGAAAGCTTACAGAATCTATTGAATATCTGATCAATATGTTACACTAAAAACAAATATCATTTCCTTAGACAGCAAGAAATACAAAATCATAAATTTTTTTAAATGCACAATTTCCTCTAATTTTGATGATAAAACAGAAATTTTTGTGCAATGATTTACTTACAGAAAAGTCATTTTTTTTAAATAAATAAAATAATATAATATGAGAAATATTAAATTATAATACAGGCATTCCTCATTTAACAACTGAGTTCTATTCCTATGTCTAGGTTGTTAAAACAAATTGGTTGATAAATGAGGAGCTTAATTGTTTTATTTATTCTTGGAAAAGAAATGGTCTAAAGTAAACTCCATTTTGATAACTTTGCATCTCTTACATATTACAGGACAAAAAAATACAGTCAGCAAAAAGTATTAAAAATGTACCAAAAAATTAAAGTTCATTCATTTAAAAAAAGTCATTCAGATTGTAGGGGTAGGAGTCCTGGATGCAGCTTTTGAAAAGAATCTCATTATCGTGATCTGCTTTGTAAATTTCTTTTTTTTCTTCATAAATTTCATGACAGCATCGTAAGAGTTTGTTCATTTGTTGTTCCACTTTAATGAACCATTCAAAATTCAGATCCACATTCTTTAGTTCTGATATAGCTGCATTCAATTTTGAGTACACATCACATCAGCTAACTCCTTTACAGTGAACTTTTGTATTTCCATTCTTTCCTCTTCAAAGTGCTGCTATACTTCTAGCTCTTTTGCTCGTTCTTTGATTCTTGGTACTTACTCTAGTTGTAAAGTCTTGCTCTTTCTTTTTGCCAACATCCTGTACTATAGGATGCATAATAAAGTACAAATTTATAAACGAAATATGTAGTCTTGGAGATTGTGAATGCTTTGTGTAGTAAATACTGACCAACTGCAGGAATGAGACTAAGACTATGAAAGAGAGCTGGTCATTAAGTGAGGAGTGGCTGTAAAGTTAAAAGAAGATATATTGAAATTCCATCTACCATATATTATTGAATGTACTTGGACTCTTTTGATTTGATAGAAATTTAAACCGATTGTTTTACTTAAAACTGATTTGACTTTCTTATTGAAGTTCAGAATGTGCACTATCGAGTTACTAGTTCTATTAAGATATGAATTTAATAATTAGTTCTAAATAATGTCATGAATAATAATAAATTTCAAAATAAAATAACTTTTGTTTTTAAATTTATAATATTTACATATTCTGAAAAATGTTTATAATGCATCATTTTCTTAATCTAATGATGTGTATAAATTTGTAATTAAAGTTATATGTAATAAAGTCTGAATAAAAATTTAATTAAGTTTCTTTAAATTTCAGCTAAACAGAAATATATTAAATCTTGTAATTTGCTGAAAAACTGTGCAATAGTTTCATACATTATTTATCCTACTATAGGAAAATTATTGCCTTCCTTCTATGATAATTCCATGAGGTAAGTGTTAAAATAGAAATAAAATTTAGTCTTTATAATAATTAAATATATAATAACCTAGTTTTTATTATTATGAAGTCTTTTATCCATAACATATAGTCAGTAATATTGTTATTTACAGAAAATTTGATGGAAAAATAATTGAAATAAATTCTGATGTATTTACTTTAATCCTACCTACTGTAAATAATTCTGTCCACAAATCTTTATCAGAAAATATACAGTTTCAGTTTCAAATGTTGCATCCTAATTATCACGGTGATATTAGATGCGTATATTGGAAAAACAATGAAGGGTAATTTTTTCTTGTTGAATTATTTATACTTTTTATTTTATTTTATTGAACATAATTGTTATTTATAAAACAACAGCGAAAGAGGAGTATGGTCATCAGATGGATGTACTGTTGTTGGTCAAATGTATGATGGTTTGCAAAGTTTTGTTAATTGCTCATGCAATCATTTAAGCAGTTTTGGTCTTCTAATGGATATATTGCCAAAAACCGTAAGTAATTTAATAAAAAATTGCAATTTTAATAATAATCGTAATGCCAATTTTATTTCCTGTACTGTACATTATTTTTTCAGAAAATTTTTATTCATATTATAACAGTGTTTGTAGAATTTTGTCATGGGCATAATACATGTTTGTTTTACTTATATTATCTTCCTTTATCTTTGTTACAGCAAATAATAAATATATGTAAAAAAATAAGCAAAAACTACAATGACTAAAAAATATGGGGTCTTTCAAATTTTCTAATATAACTCTTGCAGATGGTCTAAAGGATGGTCTAGAGAAGTCCTCTTGTTGCATGTGGAATGTAGTTATTTCAATGTAATGGCTATTAGAACAAATTTACTCTTACAATTAATTATACCTTTGCTTTATGAAATTGTTATTCAAAAAAGCAAAAAGAAAAAAGAAAAGTATAAAAGAAATCTCAGAGAACAACTGCCTCTCCTGAACCTATCCAAGTCATATTATCAAATAAAATGTATGCTGGATGTCACTTAAACATTTATTCAGAGGCAAAAGTGCTTTTCCCAGTATTGCATGACTGTATGCATGTGATGCATGCTTGTTCCAGTGCTAAAATAACCAAAAGGAGTTTTAATTTAGAGCTATTGCATGCTGGTGATCAATTTGCAGTAGCCAGTGAGAATATGAGCAATTTTGTTTTCTTGCTTTTGTTGTTATGTTGTGATAAAAATATTAATAAAAATTGTTGAAAATGTCAATTATATAATAATATTTACTATGCATTATTATGTTTGTAAAGATTTATAAATAAATCTCTGTTTCTATAATAATGTATCTTTTTATGAGAATAAACAAAATTGTATAATTTATTATTAATTTTTTTCTAATATAAAATTACAGAAATTAGTAATGGAGTCTGGATCTCAGGGTGCATTCTCATATTTTGGAATATTACTCTCCCTTATTATGCTATTGACAACATTAACAGTTTTCTGTCTGCTACAAGGCAATGAAACTAATAGCAATACAATTCATAAAAATTTAGTTTCAAGTATATTTGTTGCTGATTTAATATTTTTGATTGCATTAAAAACCCAAGGTAATCATTCCTATCAAGGGGTAAGTGTTCATGTTTAATAACAAATTTATAAATAAATATGTTAATTATAATTAAGAAATTTTTATTTCTATCTATATTTTTTATGTTATATTATCAATAAGGCCATCAAGAGGTGGAGCTGGGGAATTTTTTCCTGGCCTGTAGAAAACTTGGGGGCTTATAGTAGTCCCCTATAAATATAGTTGTTCCTGGCCTATAAACTTGGGGGCTTATCCCTATAAATTAATATTATTTTTACTAATAAGAAATAAAATCTTTAAGAGTGCTTTTTATTAATACAGAAACATTCTACATATTACATTTGTTTAAAAAAATGGCAAAAGAGGGCCTGCTAAGGAGAAAAAGCTCCTTTCATCATCATATAGAATTGATTATATAGAACTAAATCATGAAAAATATGTAAAATAAAAATTCTTAATTGTGTGCTAAATCTGCACCATTGTTTTAAAGTATTTGAAGTCTTGCAGCATCTCATTCTGAAAAAGCATTGCTGTGATTTATTTCTTTGTTTTGAACTAAACACTGGTACTTGCATCAGTGTTTGTCTGGAATTCTCAATTGTGACACCTGTCCACATGATATTAGGGCTTCTCTTAGTTTCATTTATGTTAATTTCTTTGCAAACATCACTCCAAAATACAAGGATAGTTATGCCGATAGCTCTGATAAACTGAAGAAAAGTTATAATGTGCCTAGTTTAAAAAAATTAAATTTTTTTCTGATTTAATGAGAAAAGAAAAAGCCCGCTTCTGAAAATTTTTAAAGTTGTTTTTATGATTTACACCATCATGCTATTTATTGTTAATACTATTTCTTCATCTTATTTATATTAAAAAAAAAAATGTTTGCTAGGTATGTTGTTATAGAAAATATTTAACAATTAATGTGGTTTGCTATTTTATGCAAATTTCTATTTATGTGAGGGATGTTGGAACATACTAGTAATCTGACAGAACCCTACCATAATTTCAATTTAAAATGGACAATTTTTTAATTTTAATCAGAAAAATGTATTGGTTAAATACTATAAATTTGTATGAAAATATTATAAATGAAATAATAATAATAATAATAATAATAATAGAATTATTTTTTCTATGCTTATTTTTAATAGTTTACATGCAAGATGATGGCTATTCTTTTACATTACTTTTTCTTGTCTGAATTCTGTTGGATATTTGTTGAAAGTTTGCATCTTTATCGTATGTTAACTGAAATGCAGTATATAAATAATGGTCAGATGAGAATATATTATTTTATTGGATATGGTGAGTGCAAGATATTTAAATTCATAAACACAATTTGATTCTACATAAAAAATGTTAATTATTGATTCAATATATGTAAGGTGTACCTTCTATCATTGTTGGATTAGCTGTTGGACTCCATGCTGATCAATATGGAAATGATATTTTGTAAGTTCTTTTATGTATTTTATGTTTTGAATTATTTAAAATGTTTGATCTAAATTAATTCTAATATTTTTTATTGAGTATATATAATGAAGAAGATTGAATTCAGAATAATTTAGAACATTAAGAAAATTGAAAATTATAAAAAATTAATTACTTGCAAATGAGTATTCAAGTGTTTAACAATAAACTATACTTTTGTTTAGTTGATCACTTCTTAATTAATAATCATTTCTTAGAACTAGGATTGTTTAAGGGAGTCAAAAATGTATTTAAAGCTTTTGGAAACTTTCAATTCCATTGTCAAAAAAGCTTTACATAATTAAGATACTAGGATAATCAAACATGCCTCAGTAATGGAATAAAGTAAAACTAATGCAAAATGGATCAAAAGATTATTGGATGAGGACATTAAGATTACATATGAAAGCATAAACAAACAGAATTTAGTAAATATCAAAAAGGCAACTACTGAGGTGGACCCATGGGCAAGGGTATTTAATTCCATTGTTTTATGTGCAGTTTGCATTCAAACTGCATATAAAATAATGAAAGTTAATGTGTGGGTAACACTAACAGGAATTATTATTGTCCATTATGTTGTATGACTGTAACAGCCCTAAACTAAGTTACAGCCAAACAACATGGTCGTGATCACCTAGGGTTTAAAAGGAATAATTAAAGGTTAAAAATACTATAATGGACTAAAAACAATGAGACTATAATTATTACAAGACATCTGGGTGTACACAATTAATGATTACATAACAGTAGGATTTTGTATAATGAACAGACTACTTTAAAGCTAATACATACAATACTTATAAGTAAATTTATATTAACATATTATAGTACTTTAATTCTGACAACTGCACCACATCCAAGCTCTACGCTCTCCAATTTCTGAAAGAAAATATTTATCTTGGGGTCAGGAGAATTGTCCTCAGGGCCTCTTTGTTCAGTGGTGAAGGCAACTTCTCAGGCAGCTGGAATAAGGGCAATTTCTCCAGGAGATGGATCTGGAAAGAGAGTGAAGAGTAAGGGAAACAGAAGGATTCAAAACAACCATGGGTCTTTCCATCTTGGATCAGGTTTTAAGCTCAATTTTGGTTATATCCCTTGGGCCACAATTGGTCATTCATTTTCCAATCTGAATGTTGTCTTCTTTGACATAAGAAGCAATGTACCACTTTGAGTTAAGGATGAATCCATCTTTCCAAAGTTTGAAGAGTGTATCTTTGTCTCTCCTTCACTTACTAGATTAAATTTTATCTTCCAGATAAAAAGTAACCCAGTAAATGAAGGAGAGACAAAGCTTGCTTCAAAAATTTCTCCATATGGAGAAATGAAGCATTACTTCATTAAGGTGGTGTCAGCAAGTTTCTGTGTAATTTTGGACTTTAAAATCCTATCTCTACTATTATTGTTATAATATTCACATTTTTCATGTAAGAACTCCTTAATATAAATCAAAATCTATATATCTGCTTCCTAACAATTAATTATTCTGTGTGATTTTGGCTTAAATTTAAATACTGTTAAATAGAAAAATTATAGATTCCATGTTCAGAATGACTTTTTTTTATTTATGTTTTTGATTTAATAATAAAACTATAAATGNTACCACACACACTACACAAAAGCCTGGGAACATTAGAATTGAGTAGAAATACATACATAACACTACAGAAGGCCACTATATTGAATACATGCCACATTGTTAGGAAATTCCTGAATACAGACACTGACACACTTCTTTAATTTCCGTTTTGTTTTGGTTGCTATGCCTTGACTTTGGTCCGGCATAGTACACAGCCACCGGTGTGAACCGAGTATAACTCACAAAACCCATCATAATAATGGCACATATGAATATACAGGGTGTATCAGTACAGCAGTTACAAACTTTCAGGAGAGATAGAGTACACCTAGACCAAGGAAAATCACATAGCAATGCATGGTCGGAAACACTTTCCTGGCATGGTAGTGACGATACAAAACACAAGAAAGAAAGGACACGAACAGGGTGAGAAAACATGTTTATTATTCTTAGTACAGCAAAAATCAAAGAAGGTGTTTGAAATTACAACCTTGGGCCGTGATGCAGGCCTCACATCTCTGGCGTATTGAAGATCTAACATTGTCAAAAATACCGGGCTTGTCCTTGACTTCCCCTGCAGCATGCAACGAGTTCCAGGAAAGTGTTTCCGACCATGCATTGCTATGTGATTTCCCATCCTCCAGGTGTACTCTCTCTCTCTCCTGAAAGTTTGTAACTGCTATACTGATACACCCCATATAATAATTTTATTTATTTTAGTTTTTCGTTTTATTATTTATAGCTTGTATTAGGAATGTTTGGTTATTCTGTACATTCAACAGTTGATGTTAAAGAAACAATTACAGATTTTGGAAATGTTAGGTATGGTTGAAAATTTTTATATGATGATAGAGCAAATTTGTGATTTTATTTGATATTTTTTATTACAATTGTGCAGGACAATTTTATGGGTAGGAATTGTTCTGTTGCCAATTTTAGGTGCCACTTGGATTTTAGCAGTACTCTGTGTAAATGAATCTGTATCAGCATTGCATTATACTTTTATACTCTTTTGTTTAATTGAAGGAATTTATGTATTTTTTGGATATTGCATAATTAACAAAAAGGTACGTACTGTACATAAATGCAAATTATATTTTCTGTAAAATTTATACAATTGAAATTTACTAAACAAAATGGATTATCAAAAAGTATATAATTTTATCCCTTACTATTACATTAATTACTTATCTATTATTAATAAAAACTTTTTAAAATAATTCTTAAGTTAACAAAATAATTAATTTTCTCTGTGTATTTTATCATTATGTTTTGTAATATTAATCTTATTTGTTTTAAAATTATAACAAATTAATAATACAATTGTAAAATAATAAACTTTTTTAAAAATTTTTCAATTTTTAACTGTAAATACTTAAATTTTATTATTAATTCTCAGTATTTATCCGCTAAATCTCTAAAAATAACAAAAATTATAAATTAATAAAATATAACTATAAAAATTAACATATTCTGATTATATTATTATTTCAGGTTCGCTTATACTTGCAAACAGTTGTATCACAAATAATTAATAATGTAAATTCTTTACCTCCTATAAATAGAGTTAAAAATACCAGAGTAAGTTACATTGAAAGTGTTGTAAAATACACAAAATTTTAAAAATTAAATATATTTATTATGTTTATTTTATTTTAAGTCAGTGTACCATGCGCCATTTAAAGTACTTCATCGCAGTGTGGGCATTTCTACATGCTCATCTACTAGTCAGTCTACGGCAAAGACATTCAGTACACCTTGTCGGTCCGAATCTCAATATCACCCAAATATTGTATCAGTTCCACCAACTTACGGTTCTGCATTAGATGTTCTAACTAATCCAAGATCTATATCGGAATTTTCTCATTCTTCATCGGAACAGAAAAAATATGCAGGTATAATTTTAGTTTAATATTTAATGTTCCTTCTTTGCTCAATTAAAATAAGTAAATTGCTGTTTTATGGATAAACAAATAGTAATTTTAAATATGATTGTTTAATAAAATATAGAAAATGAAGAGAAATTAGAAAAAATTATTAGCGATGAATCAGCTAGTAGTTATTCATATCACTCATCGCAAGAAACTGTTCATGCAAATGGAACAAGTGAAGAAAATGGTAGTCAGTAATTTTTTATACAATATTACATAATAATAATTCAGTTAATTACAATGTTATAAATTTTATAGATAAAACTCCAACATCAAACTCAAATAGTGATATAACAGGTAAATTAGCAAAGTTTCATACTTTAGTTTAAAATTATTTAAATATATTCATTTGGTTCCTTTTCTTTTTAGAATTCAAAGTCCCTCCATTAAGATTACCGTCGTGTCTATTTGATCAAATAAAGCAGCCTTTACCACCTTTAGAATTTAATAAAAAACTTGATAATACTTTAAATAAGTGCAATATTTATGAGGAAGAGAAAGAACCAGAATTTTATAATACATCAAATAAGCAAGATGTAATCAATAAATCAAATATAACTTCAAAACCAGCATGTAATGATAAAGTTGACAATGCTATTAACATTCATCACTTAGGCTCATTATTAGAAGATAGATTTTCTCCTCCCCTAATTGGTAAGCTTAAAATTTTTTATTTTTTTTTCTTTATTTTTTACCAAATATCATATTAATATAATTAACTTCCTTGTTATTACTTTATAGATGATTCTGACAATTCTGAATCTGAAATATCAGACTTATCTGATAAAAGTAACTCTCTCAATAATAAATTAATATATTCTGACTATCAAAGTGTAAATAGGACTTGTCCTTATCAATTGGTTCCACCAGAACTGTGTACAGATTCTAAGACAGATCCGCCAAAAAAACCTTTAGAATCTACTCGTCCATTGAATTTAATTCCACCTTTAGCAACAGCAGAGTTATCATCATCAGATTCTGAATAAAAAATTTTATATTTTTAATACAACTGAAAAGAACATCTAAGAAAGCAAAATAATTGTGCCAGAATAGATTTTGATATGACAAACAACTTAAAGAAAGAAGCTTCTGAAAAATTATAATCATTAAGAATATAAAATTCATAATGTTAAGAATAATACTAATTATTGGATTTTTATATTCAATTTATTTTAAAATAATTAAAACTATCTAAATCATTTTTTTATAAAATGAAGAAAATGTCTTGTCCTGTGGTAAGATTATGCTGCCATAATGAAATATAATGAATATTGCAGTGTCAGTGATGCTTTAGAAGAGTCCCAGTTGCAGTGTTGAGTGAGCCCGCTTGCATCCACTTATGCCAAAAATCTATGGGATGTGTGTTAAATATATAAATGTTATAAAAGTTCCTACATGTGAATGCTAATATAAAATAATAAAAGAATATGAAAATGTGTGGTCCTGTAACACTCACAAACTGTTAGATTTGGATTGGACAACCAATATAAATAGAATAAGAAATTATAGCCTATTATACTTTAACAGAAACTGTGCCAATAAAATAAATGAAATATTCAACAAATTTAGATTCTTGAATCAACTATTTCAATGCTGTAAAAGTTTATACATTGCCATTTTTCTTTTATTTATTATTATTTTATTTCTGTCTGAAAATATTTACTTTCTGTATTATATTTAACTTCATCTACCTCATTAAAATTTTTATATAATGCTGAATTAATCAATGTACAGCACAACGAGTGAAGTTGAAGTAGCGCTAACATTTTTGACTCGGTTAACATCATCCGCCTTGTCTAGAATATTTCATGCACTGACCAAAATTATGTCTAAATGTAAGCAGGCTTCTTCCTTCTCCAACTTATCTTCAGGTCTATCTCTAATAATAATAATAATAAATCTTTTATTATTATTAGAGATAGACCTAAGAAGGCTACACATTTATTATAAACACGTAGCCTTCTGAGACAACCCAACTTTATACCGACTCCTACAGAATGATAGGATTCCACGGATGAAAAGATGGAGCAATGGAGTGTAAATCATCCCATTCATAAATGAAGAGACTAGCATCACAAGACAGTAGGAACAGGTTCAGATGATCTGGTCATGGACAGACCACTTTCTGCTGTCAATGTTACAAATATAATTTTAATTTGTGTGAAATTTATAACAATAATAACGTATTTAAACTGCAGGAACAAGAACTCTCTCCCCATATCTCCTTTGTGGATTGTACCATAAACCGGGGGGCGGATTGCATAAATTCGTCTTCTGGTCATTAGGGGTGTTGTAAAGGAGTAGTTGTACCGAGAGGCAACACTGGTATTTCCGATGGAGCATCCATTAAACTATATATAATATTTGTGGCCTGCCTATGAGTTACTGGCATGCCAGTTTAATCTGTCCATGCCCGAAAATAGCTCAAAAACATAAGCATTCCTTCCACTTCACCCATTGTTAAAAGCGCATCGATTAGTTCAGCAGATTAACTACAGTGGCTAATTCATTCTGGTTTTTATATAATACTTTTATGCAACAAATACATATTTATTTATTGTATGACTGTATGCATGTGATGCATGCTTGTTCCAGTGCTAAAATAACCAAAAGGAGTTTTAATTTAGAGCTATTGCATGCTGGTGATCAATTTGCAGTAGCCAGTGAGAATATGAGCAATTTTGTTTTCTTGCTTTTGTTGTTATGTTGTGATAAAAATATTAATAAAAATTGTTGAAAATGTCAATTATATAATAATATTTACTATGCATTATTATGTTTGTAAAGATTTATAAATAAATCTCTGTTTCTATAATAATGTATCTTTTTATGAGAATAAACAAAATTGTATAATTTATTATTAATTTTTTTCTAATATAAAATTACAGAAATTAGTAATGGAGTCTGGATCTCAGGGTGCATTCTCATATTTTGGAATATTACTCTCCCTTATTATGCTATTGACAACATTAACAGTTTTCTGTCTGCTACAAGGCAATGAAACTAATAGCAATACAATTCATAAAAATTTAGTTTCAAGTATATTTGTTGCTGATTTAATATTTTTGATTGCATTAAAAACCCAAGGTAATCATTCCTATCAAGGGGTAAGTGTTCATGTTTAATAACAAATTTATAAATAAATATGTTAATTATAATTAAGAAATTTTTATTTCTATCTATATTTTTTATGTTATATTATCAATAAGGCCATCAAGAGGTGGAGCTGGGGAATTTTTTCCTGGCCTGTAGAAAACTTGGGGGCTTATAGTAGTCNTCTTTATTTTACATTTCTAATTTAAGACGAATTAAAATAATAACTTTGAAAAGATATGTTAAAATAAACTTTTACCGTTATTATCTTAATATAAAATGTACGTAAAGTAAAATAATAATAATAAATTAATAAATACAATTATTGAAAAAAAAAACCAACTGTAGGTAAATTTTCGGACAATTTTTAACGAATACGTTCGATTTAATAAATACTTCCAATTTAAATTAGCGAAGTATTAAATTACAGTAGAGCGTCGATTATCCGAAAGTCGATCAACCGAAACGTCAATCATCCGAAAGAATTCCAGTCGGCAAATTTAAATTTTCGCCGGTGCTGTGGCGCTGCAATCTTTGGCTATATCTTGGGCTACTCAAATAGTTTACGTTTTTGATACTAAATTAACTTCTGAAGTATAATTTTTTATTGTTTTTATATTTTTCAATATATTTATTTTGTTTGTACAAAATAAAAAAANGCAGCTCAGCAAAAACAATTATTCAGGTATGTGTATCAGTATTTACCATGCACATGTATAAGAAAATATAGTATATGGCTTGTTATATATTTTTATTTTGTACTTGCACTGAGTTATTTCTTATTAATCTACCCCTTAAATTAAAAATGGTTGGAAAGAATTTTCATGTAAAATTGAAAATTTAGTAAAAAATTAATGTTAGTTCAGTGGTCAACCAGTGGCTGAAACCATTGAACATCAGTAGTTGGTCATAGATTTGTGCCTCACCAATGAGCTGGCCATGTGGAGTTTTTTAGATTTTCTTCATGTCTTTAAAACCTAAATAAGGGCCAGTTTCCCATAGTCTTTCTGGGATGGACTTTCTCTCATATTAAATTTTAAAAGTGTTAATTTTTTTCAGAATGTCAAGTACAAGACAACTAGCTGAGCTGAAGTTAATTGAACTGATTGATCAAGAACTAAATGACTGTAATTGTGTATCTATGGAATATATTTTGCAAAAACTGAAATCAGAATCTGCTGCTACAGAAAAGAAGTGTTTAGAACATTTTCAGTGTGAAAAATGTGTGGAAGCAGCTCTTCAAAAATTTCCAGATTGTTTTTACATCAGTAAAAGCAACAATATTCTTAAAACTAACTCTATAAACCTTCCAAATAACTATTATGATAGATATGACAATTGTTTTAATATAGGCAAGTATAATATGAAATTAAAATAAATACATTGTGGAGCTCTCAACCTGTAATTTTTCAAAAAAACTAATATCACAGCCAAAAAAAGCTGACAGCCAAAATTTTAATTGAAATGTGATGGTTTCGTCAAATTTGATAGCATTTTATAGTGCAAGGCTTACAGAAATGATAATCCAAACAAAAACAGTTGAGTGCAGAAACTGGATAATAATAATAAATAAATGAAAAAATATTTAAAGCTAAACAAACATTTTTGATAACTAGCTATCATGATCACATTAAATATGTTCAAAAAAGAACACCATGAAGAGTAATCATATAATTGGTTGATGTTATGCATAGTATTTATTTCTGGACTTCAATAAGAGAGTCTCGAAAAAACGAAAAATAAATGAAATAGAGGAGTTTATTGAATCCGTTCGACCAAATCAGTGTCATGTATAAAGACACTGTATTTAAACAACGTTTATGGATGGCTACAGGTGTTAAATTTCAAATAACAGGTAAGTCTAGTAGAATCGATATATAGGCCTAGTATTTAGATCACACGTTCTTTATTTGAATTCGGAATACAACTCTATTAATTTAAATTTTCTATATTATAGCAGAGGAAGTGGAGAAAAAATGGAAGGTAAAAAGGGATAGATAGCCTCTATGAGAGGAAAAAATTAATAAAATTAGCACTGTTGGTGAGAGGAAAAAATTAATAAAATTAGTCGTGTTTCCTATTCGGCAGAATTTTTACGTATGTGTGTTCTGGCATAAAAGCGTAAAACAGAAACTGAACTGAAAGCTGATTTCTGATTCAGTTTTCTGCCACACAATTTTACGCATGTGTGTTCCTGGCCTTATAGGAATTGTCGTTATTGGAACGTACGTTATAGGGGGGTCGACTGTATATAGAAAGGTTTTCGTATAGAAAACGTGCAAATTATTTACTATTTTTTGTTTATTGATAAACCCCATCGAGTGTGGGGTTACAAAAATTGCGTTATTGTGTTTAATGCAATGAATACTTTCCGTTTCCTCGCTCAAAGGGTCATTCGGATCGCGTCGTCCATTTCTCTGGTGTCATTGTAATTACGTTGCTCTTCTGAATATATTTACAAATTATCTTTGATGAATTTTTAACGGTGAAAAGAAATCGGTACGATACGGAATAATTCTTAAACGTCTTGTAAAATACTTTCAAGANTAACATCGACGAAAAGTCAACGCGAAGCGACACGCAACGGAGAAAAAATTTCAACATGGGATAAATTAATATATTTTTTCGTACATAATCGGTTATCCGAACAACCCCACTCCCAATTGATTTGGATAATCGACGCTCTTCCGTATTTAATTATTATATAGAAAGGTTTCGTATAGAAAACGTGCAAATTATTTACTATTTTTTGTTTATTGATAAACCCCATCGAGTGTGGGGTTACAAAAATTACGTTATTGTGTTTAATGCAATGAATACTTTCCGTTTCCTCACTCAAAGGGTCATTCGGATCGCGTCGTCCATTTCTCTGGTGTCATTGTAATTACGTTGCTGTTCTGAACATATTTACAAATTATCTTTGATGAATTTTTAACGGTGAAAAGAAATCGGTACGATACGGAATAATTCTTAAACGTCTTGTAAAATACTTTCAAGAACGCGAGTTATTTGATATTATACGACGATTTTTCCGAAGAGCAATTAGCACCGGACGATCGAGTAGTTTAAGCCCATTGCTCTGGAATCTCGGGAACGAATCCAAACGTATCGAAGAAACTTCAGCCATTATTTATGGTTCTGGGGTTTTAGGTCCCGTTTCTAGTCGCTTTGACTTCCCGTTGTGAACTGGCTGAAACTGCACGAAAATCCTTCTTACAAAGAGTGGGTCGGTCGTTCGGGTCTCTGATTTGAACGAAACTTGCCGAGCACGTAGCTCTAATCAAAACGGCTTCTTGTCCAAATATTAAGGACCCGTTTCCCGAGCTTTTCCGAAAAAACAGGCTTCTGAAAATTGAGCTTATATGTCTTCTGGGAACGGCTATCTTTTTATTTCTTCGTATTCATTTTTAGATATGTNAACGTCTTGTAAAATACTTTCAAGAACGCGAGTTATTTGATATTATACGACGATTTTTCCGAAGAGCAATTAGCACCGGACGATCGAGTAGTTTAAGCCCATTGCTCTGGAATCTCGGGAACGAATCCAAACGTATCGAAGAAACTTCAGCCATTATTTAGGGTTCTGGGGTTTTAGGTCCTGTTTTTAGTCGCTTTGACTTCCCGTTGTGAACTGGCTGAACCCGCACGAAAATCCTTCTTACAAAGAGTGGGTCGGTCGTTCGGGTCTCCGATTTGAAGGAAACTTGCCGAGCACGTAGCTCTAATCAAAACGGGTCCTTGTCCAAATATTAAGGACCCGTTTCCCGAGCTTTTCCGAAAAAACAGGCTTGTGAAAATTGAGCTTATATGTCTTTGGAGGTGTCACGTCTTCTGGGAACGGCTATCTTTTTATTTCTTCGTATTCATTTTTAGATATGTTGTTACATTTGAAGTGTAACGTGTGCACGTAAGGAAATTGTCCATAATATTAAATTATTAATAATTAAATAAAAGAAAACACACGGCGACAATGCTACCTTATTTTCATATCAGATAGGTATTTCTCGTAATATCTTAAGCTTATTCGCTCGTATTAGCGTAGTATGTAAACACAGCAGAAATCTGATAAAATATAAAGAAATAAAAATTTTATTTAACCACATAAAAGAATTAAATTTACAGATTTATTTTTCCTTAAGGAGGAATCATTATTTTAAATCTATAAGTTTAAACGTGAGGAATGATAGCAGTGGCGTGCCGTGACATTCGATGATAGGGAAGCCGTGTTTCTATAAGAAGCCGACTTCCAGGGGCAATCAGTTAATTCTTTCTTTAAATGTATTTTTAATAGATTATTTATCAGACGTACTTAATAAATAAACAAGTTCAATATAATTACTTCTTTTATTAGATCCAATATATTCCATATGCCCTCTAAATGCCAATTCTTGCTTTGATAAATATAGTGGGGGTAATGGATGGCCGCCGTCAGTTAGACG